TTAAATATTTTTCCCTGACAATTAGTTTACCTTCATCAACATAAGAGTTATATTACTACTGATTTGAATATTTCAGCAAATTAGAAAAGTAATTAAAGTGAGCCAATATCAGTTAAGAATTCTTATTCTCAGGATGTCAAACGGTAATCTTTGATTTTGATTATTTAAAATTTTACTCATGTTGTATAGTTACAATAAACTCATGCAGTATTGGTGCAAGTCAGTGTAAGAAGTCATCCGCTATTCAGTTAGACTTGATCCATCTATATCAATACTATTGTACACCTACAATATTTGTGTGTCATCTGAAAAAGGTTGTTTTCCTGTTAGTTGTTAAAATATGCTACCCTGTTTCTCCAACAATACGGCCTCCCCCAATAGGAAGTCCCAGCATGTTTTATAGGCATGAAATGAAATTAAGTCCCTCCCCCCAAATTAAGGCCTATATTAAAACATGCGAAATGGGGGGGAATGGTGGCGGGGCTTGCTGTTAGGAAGTACTTTTGTTGCATACCCGGATATGGTGCTGCCTGCGTTGACCCGGATACTAAGTGCCTCACCAACGCCGAGATCAACATCTAAGCCGTCGCCGCCCGCCCAAAGTTGCAAGGGGGGGAATTAAGTCATCCCTAAAAAGACGGCCTAGCCATTTTGGGGGGGCTCAAAAAAAAATAAGACCCGGCCTTATTATATGAGAAACATGGTATCAACTAGAGGTGAATTAAATTTACTACTTTCTTCAGGAAAACCAATAATTCTAAGGTCGAATAGGCATCGTCTCAAAGTTCCAAAAGACCTTGGGAAAGCTGATTTATCTAGACTCATTTCAGTTGGGTTTCAGAACAGGTTATATCATGGAGATGACATGGATCACATTTATCAATAACCTCTGATGGGTTCAAGATGGGCTGATGCATCCATCCTGGCCTTCCTTGATCTTTCAGTGGCCTTTCAATTATGATCTTCTTCCGGATCAGTTTTGGAGGTTAGGAATGGAGAATATAGTTTTATGAGGATTTCCTTCTTCCTTTGAGGCCAGTTCCAGTCAGTGTAAAGGGCAAATAGGCCCAACCTCAGAGCTCACCTCTCTCCCCACTCCTTGTTAACATCTACATGGTGAAAGGACTCACCATTCCTGCTGGAGGTACATATGATGGTCATGACCAGAAGGGACTTTAAATCCAATTTTACCTGTTGCTGGATCAGGAAACTTCTCTCACATCACTCATGCCTTAGTCATTTCCTTATTGGTCTCTTGCAATTCATTTTACATTGAAATGCCTTTGAAGACCATTTCAAAGTTGCAACTGTGTAAAGAATACAGCCATGTGAATATGTAACACCACTGCTTTGTGAGTGACTTGACTTGGAGTCAAGTCGAGGTGCTGGTTATTACCTTTATAGCTATGAATAGCAAAGAGCCAGAGACTTCCTGTCCCTGATTATTTCTACTCTTCCCACTAGATCTGGCAGAATGGATCTGCTCCAGGGCTCCTCTATTAAACAGCATCATTTAGCTGAACCCAAGACATATTAAATGGATAAAATGAATTGATGTAAGAAAAAATGAGAAACTGAATTAAACCAAACTGATGGATTATCTTTACCTGTTATTGCTCTTACCTCTGAGTTCAACTATGTGTAGTCTCTCGTCAAAGCACTCGTGCACAAATGTTACAACTATTTACTTCATTCCAAGCGCGGAGCAGTGTAGCATGCTAAAATGTAAGTATCAAAACTCAAGAAAATTCAGATTGTGAATAAAATAGCAAACATGCATGTAAACACAGAGAGAAAAATAAAAAAGGAGCCAGTGTTATTTGAGTACTCAATTTAAAACATCTTCAGAATTAAAAAAGAAAAAAAAGCAATACAGATATACAATTATTCCTATCTGCTTAGCTAAGGAAGTAGTCAGCAGATGCCAAATTCACTCTGTGATAAAGATCAGAGATGAAGGAAGTTTTAACTCACCAACGGACCTTTAAAATTAAAGCATTTTTGCAAAGGTTCTTGCCAGCAAATCTTAATAGTTGTACCACTAATGCTAATTATTTTATACTATAAAAACATAATGAAAGCAAATAATTTAAACAGAAGCTATTTATATGGCATCTTCCATAACTAATTGTATCAAAATACCTGAAGTATTTATTTGAAGAACAGAATTAAGCCATAGGGACTTAATTAAAGACAGACTGCATTTATTTTTTATATCCATGAATATAATATCAGCACACTGAAGACATGAAGTCCCAGATGATAGGAGATAATGCTGAAACTTGAGGGAAGTAAAGCAAAAAATTTCAATAGAAAGAGAGGGAATGAAACTGTAAGGATTGTGAATTATTTCCAGATTTCCCAAAAATATTGAAAATTTGATTTTTCTTTGCTATTTTAAAATTTTACATTAAAGTCAGGAAAATTATTAGGATTTCAGTTCCAGATTTCAACAACAAATTGGATAACTCTCTATCAGAAGAACAGCACCTTATTTTCTTGCCTGTTAGTTTGTACAGTATCTGGAAATCTGCTATTTGCTCTCCAAATACATTGGTCTACAAATTCCATTTGTATATATACAGTATAGGCCCAATATATAGGAGCATCTGAGCTGTGGAAGGCTGCAATACTCTGCTGCATGAAATGAAGTGGAAGTTTGGAAAGGAGATTTACTCTTTTTTTATGCCTAATTCACATCTCCAGTGCTCAAAATGCCATCATTTAACAACACCAATAAAAAAAGACCACAGATAATCCTCTACATACAACCACAACTGAGCCCCAAATTTCTGTTACTAAGCAAGACAGTTAAGTGAGTTTTGTCCAGAGGTGGTATTCAGCAGATTCTGACTGGAGAACTGGTAGTGGAAATTTTGAGTAGTTAGGAGAACCAGCAAATACCACTTCTGACTGGCTCCACCTCCATCTATTATCTGTCTTCTGAGTCCCAGCTGATCAGCTGGGTCTTCTTTTGTTGCCCTGCACAGGAGAACAGAGCTGGAAAGCAGGTTAGTGGGGGGGGCATGGGGATTTTGCATTAACCTTCCCCCAGGAGTGGGGAGGGAATTGAAATTTTGCAGTATCCTTCTCCTGCCACATCCACCAAGCCATGCCCTCAGAACGGGTAGCAAAAAAAATTGAATCCCACCACTGGTTTTGTCCCATTGTATGACCTTTCTTGCCACAGTTATTAAATGAAACACTGCAGCTGTTAAGTTGGTAACACAGTTGTTAAGCTTCCCCATTGTCATTGCAAAAGTGATCACATGACCCTGGGACACTGCAACTGTCATAAATATGTGTCAGTTGCCAAGTGTCTGAATTTTGATCATGTGATCATGGGGATACTGCAATGATCATAAGTGTGGAAAATGATCATAAATCCCCTTTTTCAGTGCCACTGTAACTTTGAATGGTCACTAAATGAAGTGTTGTAAGAACTTTCTGTGTTCCAAATGGCAAATTGTGCAGTTTCCCTCAGATTATTATTAACTTTATTGTCAGAGGACAACATGTGTACAATGAGATTGGCTGAGCCTCCCTTCGTGCACCCTCCCAACACAACTCACAGTGAGGACAGAAGTCCCTGACCCAGTCCCAATCTTATTACACTATGTGACCTTGTTGCACAGTGTGCCAGCCCCGCAAGTCTAATAATCTCATCTAATAATCATCTTGATGTAAACAGCATTTGTGATATTTGAAAGTACATTCTAAATCCAATAATATTTAACAGGAAATACATATCATTAAAGCAATTGGATTGTACAGCTTCTTCCTATTATTGATTGTAAAAGAATTTTGTTTGTTCTTCACTATAAGCTGTATGACTATGCCAACTTTAAATTTTCAATAATATAAATAATACTGAATAGTCAACTTGTCCTCCACCCTAGTCCTATTGCTGTAATCAGTTTCCTACCATATTTCAGCTCAATCAATCTATGAAAATAACAATGAATTCTTTTTTCTAGAAGAAGAGTGCATGTATATAGCAGTGTGATTGACATTATTAACCATTTAAAATCTGAAAGCAATCTCAGCAGCTATTTTAACACATTGTAATATGAATGGTTGAATTTCCTTTAGGCCTGTCAAATATAAAAGTTTAAGTGCTTTGTACATGCAACACATCCTGATAGAAAATATATACCATAAAATAAATCCTACCAGCTACTCAGAGATATTTTCTTCCTCAAAATCCATCTATTGGTGGGTCACATGAGATACTCTCCATGTTTATTGTAGATTTCACATTTTGAATACAAATTAGATTTACCCAAAGAGCCATTGGAAAAGTCACACAAAGTTGTATCTGATGCAATGTGAAATATTTTTAATAATAACTTTTTTAACTGCAGAATGAAATAGAATGCACATCAAATTAATCTTAGATTACAATTTACATGATAAGAAAAATAAACATTAATTATTTAAAAAGCATTAAGTTTATACAAAATATTAATCTGTTAGGGCAAAAGTAAAGAAACATTTTGACAGAAAATGAAAATCAACTATTTGAAATATAATTTCATTCTTTCTGACAACTAAAGAACATTTTATTAAAGACTACCTATGTAAATAACCATTTATAGATTTAAAGTGGACATTTCCAGTCTTTCCCCACCACCTTCATAATATATCATATGATATATTTTAGACTTTACATTTTGAATATAAAAACTTCACGGCTTAAATGTTTACCAGTCATAACAAAATTCTTCCCACCACTCTGAAGATCTGTATGTGTCACAGAGCATAAATATGTGAATACTTCTTAATAGGGATTAATTAGAAAAGGACAAATTGGAAACAAGCTCCAGCTTCAAGCTCCATTCCTACTCTGAAATATCTGAAGACATTTCTGTCTTTTGTTTTATAGTTCATAGATAAAGTGGCATTCCAGCAATCACAGTATGTTACTCAAGCAGAGCTTCTTCTCACCTTATCAGATTTCATGTTGACTGTAAAAGATTCTTCCTCTTGGATCAAGACAACTAAACATACTGACTTTTAGAATATGCACTCTCCGCTCTTCTTTGAATATTGTGGCTGCGGTAAGTGGTCGGTTGTGAGGGTAATGAATACCGGTAGCTTCGGGTTTTTTCATCGCAACGGCAGAAACAACATAAAATTGCCCCTCCAACCACAAGACAGAAAGCTGAAGCCCAGCCTATGTAAAGTGCTTCTCCAAGCTCCCTCTTCTGAGCCAGTGTGGTGACAGGATTGTAGAAGTCTCGGATAATGTTATGGGCAACAAAGCACACTGGGATGAGCACCACAATGCCAGTCAGGATGAAGGAAATGCCGCCCGCCAGCAGAATGTAGCCTTTGATGCGATCATCATTTCCTGTGCACTGGGTACACTTCATGCCAAGAACAGCCACTGCAGAAGCGAGGAATGCCAGAGCTGAAGCTGCACACATCAAGCCTCTTGAAGCTTGCAGGTCTGGTGGGAGATCCAGGAGGGAGTCATAGACTTTGCACTGCATCCTGATGGACTCTTGCCTTATGCAATTCATCCAGAGGCCTTCCCAAAATGTCTCAAAGACCACCACATTGCTTTCAATGAAAGCCGTCACTCGCCACTGGGGCATGCCAGTGATGGCAAAGGTCCCAACAGTGCCAATGCCACCAAGGATCAGTCCTGCAATCTGCAATGCAGTCGCTGCCGCCATTTCCTCTTTCCAAGTCAGCAGAATGCAGTTCCAGAGAGTTTTAGGTGAATCTTCTTTTACTTTACCGATTCAAATCAGGTGTTGAAAAAATAACTTTTCAAAACCCCTCATGCTCAGGTACAGAAACTCTGTTAACTCAAATCCATTTCAGTCTGATCCGCACTGATTAGGAGTTGGCTGCCTCTTTGCTGTTTTGAGCATACCACTGCCCCTATTGATTGGAAGGATAAACTTATCGGTCAGGTTTTACAACTTTCAAAGCAAGTGAAAGGTTACACATAACAAGGCTTGCAAAGTATACAAAAAGCAAGTGAAAGGTTACACATAACAAGGCTTGCAAAGTATACAAAAATCCTCTCAGGGCACACTTAAACCTTTAAGGAAAGTAATTTTTCCCTTTAACCGTCTTCTCTTTTTATCATGAGAGCATGGTATAAAATTAGATTGTGTTAATATAACAATTTTAAAAAATTCCTCCAGTGGAAACCAAAAATATTATTGGAAAGATCTAACATAGTATTGACATGTTTATCATCTTCAGATAGAAAATATAAATTAACTTTTATATTCCTGTATTGACCAGTGAAACAAAAGTTTTGAAAACTGCAACTACCGTAGTGGTTAAATATGAATCCAAAGCAAATTAACCCTGTGTCGAGCCTGTGTGGAAAACAATGTGTCAGCGACTGGATTTTTAAAATGTCATATGAAAGATTCAAGCAAAATTTTGCCAAATCTCCTTATAGGTAGTCTTCAAGATATGATGACAACTGAGCCTGGACTTCTGTTGCTAAGCAATACAACTGTAAAGCCCAAAGTCATGTGACTGCATCACTTAGCAACACCAATCTTGGCAGACCTGGTAGCCATCATAACCACCAGGACCACAAGGGACATTAAAAGAGGACCCCACATGACCATGCTGTGAGAAGAGGGAGAAACACCAGATAAGCAGTCAGGTTAGAACTGCAGATGAAATTCAGAAGCAGATGCTGCAGGCAGGCAGGTGTCATGTACAAGTGCTATGAAACCTAGATGGATTGATGCTACAGGTAGGTGCTATGCAGTAAAGGCAGGTACATGGGTGCTACTGTGGGTCACAGGGTGGTGCTATACAGAACAGGTGGGTTGTAAGTAGCATGGCAATTGCACAGGTGATGTGGCAGGCACTATGAAGTGTGGGAAGGCATGCAGATGCCACAGGCAGCTGCTATGGATGGAGTGAGGGCATGTGTGGGGGTACTACTGCTGGTGCAATGGGGCATGTGTGAGTATGTGGGTGCTGACCAAGGCCAGGTGGAGGAGTGCCACAAACCAGCACTGTGGCATGTGGACATGTCCACAGATGCTACAGGAAAATGCTATTGAGCATGGGAGGTTGTGTGGATGCTGCAGGCAAGTGACAAAAAGGTGGTTTGTGACCTCATGCCAGATTTCCCATTGACAGAGAAGTCACAAATGGCAATTGCCTGACTGAAGGACATTGTGATCACCATAATTGTGAATTGGCAGAGTCAATGTGACAGCCCCAACTTCATAGACCAGTCATAACTCCTTTTCATCCAATACCATCATAATTTTGAACAGTTGTAGAACAAATGATCATAATCCAAGGAATAGCATTACCCCATTAGTAAACAAAAAATGAATAGACTAACTGTACTACATGAGTTTATTAATTTAAAAATCTGAACATTCATCATGATTGAAATTCTACGATAGCTAATTAAATTAATGACTCTAACTATAGTTGGTTCCACTCCTAAGTCTGCTGTTTCCTGTCTCTGGTTGCATCCCTAATATATTGACTCATTATCAAGTCAATGCATGTAAATCTGAAAATATTTTATCTGGAATTTCTCTATTATCACTCCCTCTTGACTGAAATCAATTTTCTATTCCCCAAACAGCTTTACTCTTTTCTAAATCTGTCCTAAATAAGATAAAGCACTAAAATGTAGCCCTGTTTGAAATGTTCAAGTCTATATATACATGACATAGATATATTCTTATTATTCTACAAGTAAATTACTTAGGAGTTAATTAAATTGAATATTGTTCATGGTACACACGTGTGCATTTAAAATTCTGCAGCATAGGAAAATATGTTGATAACCTTCATATTCTTAAATGATATTGAAAATATATATTTCTTTCACCAAGAATTTGAATACCTTCTGCTTCAAGAATGACCCATAACCAGTTTTCATTAGTCCTATTCATTCCATGTCCTATAAGAAAGAAAGTCACTCAATCTGTGATTAGAAATCACATTTCAATTTTGTTAAATAAATAATTTAAATGTTTGTCATGGAAAGGTGGTAATTCTGCATATCTAAACTAAGTCTCTCCTCTACTGTTGCCCTCTCCATAAAATCTTACTCTCTTTCAGGTAAGAAACTAGTACAGGTAGTCCTCGATTTATTACACCTCATTTGAAGCAATGGCTTCTTAGTGCAAATCATTCCATGGAGAGATGAAGTGGAACATTAAGCCTGAATCAATGTTAGGTCATTATATGTGGCTGATTGAAGCAGAAAACAATGTGGTTGAGTATCTTTCTGTTTGTTTTCTTGTTGAGGCCCATGAGTTTCCAGAGATAGTCTATCAAGTAGCTGCATACTGAGAGTAAGGAGAATTCAAATCGGTAAGTAGGACCACAATCTCCAATAAGTGGGTTCCATATTTTCTTTCGGTCTCTCCTTCTGGTACGCTAAACTGCTGAAAAGCAACAAGGGTTCAGAGATTTTAATTGATATTTTACTAAAGTCTTTTGAAAGTAGGCCAAGCCCTTTGTGTTTAAGTCTAGTTCTAAAATGTATTCTACAGAATTTCCTCATTAACTGAAGTTTTCATCCCTCCCTCATTTCACTAATGATGATGCTTGAAGCCGACTATTTCATCATGGTAGGCTTGGGCTGTGCCTAATCTGACCTAAGTTCAAATAACTCTATACTTGCTCATTAAGAGCTTTTCTAACTTCTCAAGAAATCATGGTTGATGGCTACTAGTCACCCACACACACACACACACAAAGAAAAGAAACACTAGTGTGAATCACACAGCTAGTTTAGATAATACAATAAAAAGGGATAACATCTACATGCCAAAGGCAAGTCATAATGTGCTATTTTCACACATGTTGAGGTTTTCTTTAGTTTACATGGATGCCAGCTGAATCCTCAGCCCAACACATTTTCAGAAAGCAAAACATTAAAGATATTGGAGCTATTATGAGGCAAGAAATGTGTGGTATAATAACATCATGTAAGAATATAGCAACAAGCTGTATTACTAAATTCTAAAATAACTATCATATTCATGGAAGGAAAATGTACAGCTTATGAAATGTTGCTACTATCGGGGAGCTACTGGGTTAATGAGGAGACAGGCCAACTGCTGTCAGGGAGAAAAAAGACCAAGAGTAATGGACCAGAACTTACCAGGAATCACCATGGTGATCAGCTAAGGATATTACCACTAGGTATGGTGACCAAACTTATGGAATTCATTATCTCTGCCAGCCAAAGCAAAAATGACCATAGATATACAGAACCCCATGGAGTTGGTCTTGCAGCAGACCAGGGATTACAGTACAATAACCCTTTTGCTTGGCCAGCCTGGACCTAGAGCTGTGCCCCCCATCATAAAGCCATAGTAAGACATAGTAAGACCATAGACCCAGCTGCGATGATATTGGGCTATACCAGTGGAACAGGCTGCAATTTTGAGATTCCTGCTTTAAACAATACCTAAATCTTGCTCAACTTCCAGTTGATTCCTGCTCTAAACAATACCTAAATCTTGCTCAACTCCAGTTGTCACATGTACAAATCTGATGCTTCTGGATGAGTTCAGAAATTAAACTCTCCAAGCCAATAATATCAAGATTCATTTCACTAACATGGAAACCTCAAAAATTCTTTATAGATTGCATGGTTTTTTAAAAATTCAAATAAAAACTACCAGCTTTATCAAGAATGTGTTATTTTTCTTCAAAGATTTTTTTCCCATGAAAGGCAGGACATATTCATTTATGATACATCAGAATGAAGCTTCCCATGATGCTAAATAATTTATGTGGAAAATCATTCTGTTGGATATTTATTTGTTCAGGAAATAAATAAGCTAGTAAACGAAGCAATTATGGATAAGAATATATTATACGGTGTAAAGGATTAATTTTCTGAAGCTTAAGTTGACAAAATATTGCACACCAATTTTTTTAAAAAAAAATATTATTTTTTATTCTAGAAAAAACATTTATTTGACATACATTTAAAACAGACAAATCAATATATATA